AACCATATGTTTGAGAATTAATCAGGAACTTCACAAAAGTTCACTGTATGTTAGAACAGGCTATTAGAAGACTGAAGAAGACTTTATCATAAGAGACAAGACATATCATAATACACAATTTGTAAGATATGATCAAGAAGCAAGTGATGTACATTAGAAGTCAATAATCAAAAAGATTATATCAGAAGCATTTGTACAAGAGATCAGAAGATATAATCATCAGAAAAAATGTACATGAGAGAAGACTGCTAAACAAGCTTGATCAGATAATATATGAATATCTGGTGTTGACCACTAAATTATCAGAAGCAAAGGACAATCAGAAAGGATATCCATAAGTTTTACACAGATACCTAAATTTTTTCAGAAGTTGTTAACTTTCTGAAAGAATGCTTCAAATAGTATCTAAAATTCAATTGGTATCCAAACTTTAAATGGTATCTAGACTCCAGTTCTAAAAGAATTTAAATCTTTTGTAGATCAAATCAAGTCATGGTCATTAAAGAAAATATTCGGTTTTTTAACCATCAAGTGACATAAGGATATGCGCACCTGTTTGTGATCTGTGCTAAGATATTGAAGATTTGGTTTTGATACATGATGCATGGCATCTAAGAAAGTATCTACAAATCTCTGATATATAATGCAAAACATCAAGTCTAATAAGACAAATCAGGTTCTAATACGTCTACAGTATTCTGATAGCAAGATTTGGTTCTAAGATGAAGACCAGTTAGTTCTAGTCAGATTCTGATGAGACGTCACTGAGAAGTAATCCTTCTCTGCTGATATAATTCTACTTCAAAATAATTTTGTGAGTCTTGGGATCAGAGGGAGAATGTGAACAAGCATAAATGAATTTTGTGAGTAACAGAATCAGGGGGAGCCTGTTAAGCTTATCTCGGACTCTGTGAATTTATGGTGATTACCCTATACGAATTGTTTATCAAAATGCATTGTTTATCATCATCAAAAAGGGGGATATTGTAAGAACAAGATTTGGTTCTACATCTGGCCTTTGAGTTTTGATGATAATTGCACATGTTATCTAAGAGAATAATTCTATATGATATGGTTTATGTCTAGTGTGTGGTTGTTGTCAATATGATTCTGACTCTGATAAGAAGACGTGTGACGTCATCATACTCTGTTATCAACACTCTGGAAGAAAACATATGTGTACAATATAAAGTTAAGATTCAGAAATATTTATAATGCAATGGTTCTAAGGAATGTTAGTAACAAAGTTTCTGATTGATACTTTATAAGTAAGCCTATAAGGCTTTACAACAAATATGCTTTCTATTGTTACAACTCTGAAGATTCTAAAGACATGGTTCTGGTTAACAAAGCTCCGAAGGTTCTGAAGACATCACTTATAAAGATCAAGTTCTGAAGAGTTTATGAAGACAAAGTTCTGATTGAACAAAGTGCTGAAGACTCTAGAGACAAGAGTGTGCTTAATGAAATATGAAGACTCTGAAGATGAAGTTCTGATAGAACAACTTCTAAAGACTCTGAAGATAATGCTTCTAAGAAACCAAGTGTTGAAGATTTTTGTGACTAGATTCTGTTGAACGAAGATCTGAGATTCTAAAGACTATGGTTCTGAAGATTACACAAAGAATGACTCTTCTACAACACGCTTCATTAAGTTAATATCTGAAGCCTCTGAAGATGCTAGGAGACTGAAGATAAGAATGGTTTTGAGCTAAATATAATAGTACAAAAACTCCGTGACCTCTACCTTGAAAAGGTGGCGCAAGAATAACTTTTGTGCAATGATGTTAACCATTCCTTCATGTGAACGTTGGGATATTTTTGTTGGAATATGTTTCCAAGAATACTCCTCAATGGATCTATTCTCTCAAGCTTTATAAATTGAAGATCAAGAAGCTTGAAGAATTGCCGATTGCTGGAAGTGGGTTGCTGGGATAGCACGCTGCTATGCAAAGTTAAAGTGCTGAAGAAAATACTACAAGTTGAAGCTTAAATGAAGAATGCTCAATAAAGAAGAAGCTGAAGTAAACTACTAAGGTGCGTACAACGATGCAACATGCTAAAGCCATGTGAAACTAGTCAAGTGAAACATCAATAAGTGAAACATAATAACTTAGTTGATATTGATGGTCGAACTGGTAGAAGCATTATATGCTCAAGAATGAGTTAATCAAAATAAGCTAGCAGCTCATGTAAAGAAGCCATAATTCTCATCAAGAAAGCTTCTAAGCAATTCAAAACTAATGTTTTATAATCTCTCAGAGATCCATTCTTTAGATAGGTTTCTGTATTAGAAAGCAAGACGTTGTTGCTCATATCTTGCTTAGAAACACTTAGGTGTTCATGTACTTCATTTGTGTAATTAGCTTGTAAGAAGTATATTAGTGCACAAGAAAATCCTTGTAAAAGGTGATGTTCCTTGAGCGGTCGAGTGAAGACTAGAATGCTTGAGATGACTAAGCATATTTCTAACAGCTTAGTGGATGATGTTCCTTGAGCGGTCGAGTGAAGACCAAAATGCTTGAGAGGGCCAAATTGTTTCTAACGGCTTGGAGATTGATTCCTTCAGAGGCGAGTGAATGTCAGGATTCTCAAGAAGACAATGAAAGGTATCCATTGTGGTTGTAATCATTGATGATTATTGGATTAAGTCTTTGTGATAAGGTGAAGTCACCTTGAGGGGTGGGCTATAGTAACTTCGTTAATAGTGAACCAGGATAAAAATAATTGTGTCATTTACTTTTATTGTCATTATTATATTTATTCTTCTAATTTCGCAAAAGGGGAAAAATGTGAGACCTAATTCAAACTCCATATTTCTTGTGTTTCTCAACCTTCAAAACTCTAATATGGTATTGTAGTCTATCGATCATACCTTGAGCCGCCCACCGTTTAATTTCATACACCAAGGACAAAAAGAGTGTTGGATGTGAGCGGGTGTATTGAGAAAATCTCAAGGTCTACATTGTTTAGAGATAGAGCATTGAAAGAGTTTATATAGAATGAAACCCATCATCTTACAAGTCGATTTTTCAAGGATGAGTTAGTTCAAACTCTAATAGTGGATACTTAACACATTTCAACTTATGGTGTTATAAGATCAAACCTCTTAGCAATAGAGTCCCCGCCCTAACTAAATTGTGTTTATTCAGCTTTGATTCAAGAATAAAGGTGAGAACAATCACTAAAGAAAAAGAAAAAAGAAGTGCAATGATGGGGTTGTTTATCCAAACTTGTGAAGAAGGAGTTAGAAGAGTCAAAAGTCCTATCAGTAAGCTTTCAACAATGTGTACACATTACAACAAAATAGTTCATCTGGTTGGAAGCCAGTTTCGACTAGTGATATATCCTGAATGATGAGGAGACCGGCCAAAGTCTTTCAAAACATCTTTAATCATATGATAAAATATTTGAAATTTCTTTATACATGTACTTAATTGATTACTATCTTGATTAATCAATTAAGAAGACTTTTTACACTAACTAATTGATTACCACATTAGGATTAATTGATTAATTCATTTTTAACACCTCCAAATCATTTAATGAAACTCTTAATTGATTAATGACAGTGGAATTCAAAAACTTTCCATATGTGGATTGATTAATTGATTACCAGCTAGTTTAATCGATTAAATTATTAAAATGATTTATGAATCTTTCCCTTTTTGAGCCAAATTTTTTCTTATATAAAGATGGTTACTCATCGTTTTATTTTCACACCAAAATTCTAAATGAAAATATCTATCTTTCTTCTATTTTCTATGTTTGTGTATTTGTTTTTCACGAGAAGTTTCACAGTACTAAAAGATCGAAAAATCATTGTGAGAGTTGTGTTGTAATTGGTGTTATGATTAAATTGCTTTATTTTTTAAGAATGTGATTCTCTTGTGAATTATTTGTAAAAGACTTAAAGTTTGCAAGCTACACTTGAAAAAAAAAACTTATACGGAGGTCATGAGTTAAATCTCTGTAAAAACTCTATTTGATTGCTGAAGGTTCGTGGACTGGTCGTGTAAATGCTTAAGTATGATTTTAGTAGAACTATCAAAATAGAACTCTTAAGAACAAGAATATGCCAAATGATTAGACCAAAGCTATTTAAATCTCTAATACACTCTCTCTAAACTCTTTTCTCTTTAATTTTCATTGATTATTTTATTTCCATTGGCTAAATAGAAGTTAAGATTTGCAATTGACTGGTTGGTGTGATTTTGATTGGGCAAACTGTCCTCTTACACCAGTCTCTCACGAGTTTAATTATTGTTCTAGGGATTCTTTAAATTTGTGGAAGACGAAGAAGCAGCAGACACTGTCTCGTTCCTCTGCTAAAGTTGAGTATCAGTCCATGGCAGCCACCATATGAACTAAGGTGGTTAAAAGATATTCTCGTTGACCTCGGTGTTTTGCATACTCGACTCATGTGTCTCCGTTGTGATAGTCAATCAACCCTCCACGTTGCAAAGAATCCAACATTCCATGAGCGCACTAAACATATTGAAGTTGATTGTCATAAGATGAGATTTTCCAAGCCAGTTCTTACTTGGACAATGGTGTGCATTGCATCAAAGAACAGTCACATACAAAAGTACCAGCTTTCGCAATTGCAACCTCAACCTAGGAGATGATTTCTACCAATGCTAGGAAAATAAATCATGCAAATTCAAAATATACAAAACTGATTCTTTATTGTATATCTGTAATTGCATCAACTGTTTTGTTTTCAACTTCTATAAGGTATTTTGTGATGATACATATGTAGCATGAGGTACCAAACTGCCAATATTTAGGTATAGATTACAGTAACTGCACATTTGACCCCTAAAACAATTGCAGCAACTTTACACTATCACTTACATTTTCAATCCTTATTTTGTGTATAGAGTTTGGTGAAATTATACAATTTTGAAATATTTGGTTCTATATAGTTTATGTGACAATGCTCAAACATTATGGTTGATGTAAAGGTATAAGAAAATAATATTTATCTCACCATTTCTTTACGGAAAACTTCCGGTGATTCGGATGTGGTCGAGGGTTCTTCTAAGTCCGTACTTAAGCACTGCCTGGTTACCCTCTCTGAATCCATCTCCATAGGCCGGTGAGCTATCTGACTCGATCTGGTGTTTAAAAAATTTACCAAGTTCCTTTTCAAAATCCGACCGTTTACCCTTCTTTGATGAGGTCGAGGAAGGTGACGATGAAGACGACGAAGAAGAAGACGATGAAGATGCTTCTTCACTTCCGGAGCCAGAATAGATCTCTGAATCTAACCACATATGAGCTAAGACTTGGCATATTCCTTCTTCAACTTCTGGCCTAAGATTGCCATAGCCTGTCAAAAATACACAAAATTGTTCAACTTATTAGCACTGAGATATCAAAATTATCGACATTGTTTCGATCATGGGAAAGATGAAGCAGTACCTTTAAGTCTAAGCCAAGCATGCATCATTTCATGAGCCAGGATTGATCCTGTCAATAACCTAGGAAGGCCATACAATACAAGTATCGCTGTCACTTCGCACCGACGTATCAGCCTAAAAGGCTCGGTTATCATATCTATGACACGGTAGCCTGCTCCGATACTCGGTCTCCTTAAAATCTGGAATTTCAAAAAATAGAAAATTATAGTCTAATAAAATGATTATCATCGAAGATACGTCGTATTCATGAAAAAAAACATCCTTACAGTGGGGATAGTTTGCTCTTCTGACAAGCAAAGTCCTCGAGTTTCAGGTAAGTGGTGATGACCCTACATTTAATATTGAAAAGCCGAAGAACAATCGAAAATCAGGACAGTAGAAAGAGTATATGATACAGAGAAGATGAAAGTAAAAGCACATTTCATGCGTGAAAGGTTCGAAACATAAACTATTACATTCTTTTCCCCTTCCATGGCTTCATTCAGCGCTTGTCTCTCAACCAAAAGCATAGGAATTTGCTGCTCTATTTTCATATGCAAACCTTCATAAAATTCTTGTATTTCAAGATAGAGAGGTTGGCATTCATGAGTATCCATAATAGCCGAGTCAAGACATTCAAGGCACAGCTTTCGACCATCGTCGAGCAACAGATATTTTGTGTCCGTTGACTGCACTGATTGGAAAATTTCATATCAATTGATGAAAGAAAGAAAAAGAAATCGAAAAACAAAGAGAGAGAGAGTGTCTCGTTGTCAGTGACAGCGTGCGATAAAATATTTTGTGAGATGATGTAACTGACCTCCATTCTCTGACAGCTACAACAACGAGGAGTGCCATCACGCTCATGCGATGGACAATATTTCTGCAGCCAGAAAGGATGCGCTCTATACTCAATGAGTCCGGCTGAATTTTGTGGAATCTGTAAAATTTCAAATGAATATCGAAATTTTGCAAAGCTTTTATCAAAACTGAGCACGGTAGAATCGAAAAGAAAAAAAAAAAGAATCATTGTAAGCCAGAAATCAGACCAAATGCTACTTACAAAGATCTTGCAAACATCACACCTTGGGTGATGCAGCTCCTTATAGCACAATTTATGGTAAGGGCGATTTCCAGACATGGAATACTGTAATGAATAAAGATCTAAGCATTATTTACAAAACAATCAGTCTCGAAGCGAGCAACAATCGAAACAAAACTCTAACCTCATAATCAGTGATTGGAAGTTTGCAAGCATGGCAACAAAAACATTCTGGATGCCAAACAGCACCCATGCAACTCAAAAATCGTCCATGGCCAATCTCGGCATTGCAGCCAGCACAGATTCTGCAAGCACGTATTCCAGTAACCATTATATGGATCTATGTTGTAGCCATTGAAGTGACTATTTCAATTTTTCTATGATTTTACTTATTAGGCCAAACGTTTTCTCCTTTTTATCATATTCGATGATCTTCGTGAAAAATTCAATTTATGATATTGACACATATAGACTACAGATAGAAATTTCATCTGCCGCATTCTTACCTGTATACAGGTGGAAAGAGGTTTGTAAAAGGCTGAAATATAGAATCAGTGTGAGATCGAGGAGGTGAACCAATGCTCAAACTTTCTTGAATTGCCCTGGCAAGTTGTTCATCTTCCTCAAGTTGAACTTCGTCGAGACTCGTATCTTCATCCTGTTGAATTTTAGCTATATGGTCATCTTCATCTTGCTTAACATCACCAACATGGTCATCTTCATCTTGCTTATCATCACCAACATGGTCATCTTCTTCGTCATCGAGTGGACACAGTTCATCATCTTCAGATTCAGATTCAGAGTCATCCTCTGAAGTATAAGGAGTTGGAAAAAAAAGAGGCCTTTTAAAATACTTTCCCATCCGAAAAAATGTATCTCTTTCCAATCAAATCTTTATCAAATGGAATTTCATTATTTGGTACTCTGAAAATACTTATTGCACTAAAATGAAGCTACTCAAAGAAGCATTTTAACAACTAATTTGCAATAACATGAACCTTACCTACAACTTTTTTCCCTTTATAATCTTCCTCTGAAAGGGAAAGCGCAATTGCGCGATCAATTTCTTCTCTCTCAATATCAGTCAAATCATCCTGCACTCACAGTTTACCATTATCCTAACTTCAATCACTTTTATAACTAAAAACAGAGCTATGACAGAAATTGTTATTACCACAGAACCATCACGATTACTCGAATCTCTGTCATGTCCATATTTCCCTTCGTACCCTCGTCCCGAATATTTATGGTTGGAACCCTTTAGAAACTTGGTAAACCAACCCATGTAACCTTATTTTCTGCAGGTTTGAAAACCTTATCTCAAAATCTACCTACAATTTACATAAAAAATGAACTTTATAGATTAATCAAGCATGCCAAGAAACTACAAATCATCAAATTTCAATCAACCTTCATATACAGCATGATAATTACAATCACAATCACAATAAAAAGTGCTATTTGAATATTGAATCTTAAGGTAATAAGAGCATACAGATCAGGGAAAAAACCCAGAATTACTCATCAGAAAGCCAGAAACCAGTTGAATTCCAAATCCAAATCCAAATCCAATCAAACAAACCAGATAGTAAATAGTTCAAAGCAACAACCTTGAATTGAATTGCTTCAAAGAAATTCAAATTTCACATGCTTGGAAAAAAGGAAAGAGAAAAAAAAAAGACCTTTTCACCAACCCCACCATCTATATGGATTGATAACACAGCAACATAAACAACCCATGATTGAAAATTTGTTATAGCAGATAACAAAAGTAAGAAACTTTTTGTGTCACGAGAACTTACCAGGAAAAGATTAGGAATCAGATGAATCCCAGTTATTTAAATTCAAAAAAGATGCAATATTTGATTCACATTAATACATAGTCAACCACATAGTAACATGGTTAGAATTGAACTTTCTCTCTCTATATATAAACATATGTATCATGTAACAGTATGTGTGATTCCCGAATTAGTTTTTTATGAGTGCAAAAGTGAAAAGTTGAAACAGTACTTTGATTCTACGCAAATATAGCCAAATCTAAAAGTAATAAGAAACGGGTGAGTATTAATTCAACGCCACTGTGGTGTATCTACTGTGATGTGATGTGGGTCCATTTGTCTTTGTCTTTTTTCCTACTACATTCTACCAAACGTAATTGACACCATAGAATAATAGTAAAAAAGGTTTTGCGGTTGAGAAAGGTTTGGTTCAATTTGTGTTTTGCTGTAGTGATGACTAAGCCTATGAGCAACTCTTTTCGATGATGCCATGTTCTTGTGATTTTGTCTTCTTGGTGATACTAAGCCTATGAGCAACTCTTTCCTTAATAAACTTGTATCTGATACTATAAAAGAACTAAAATAATAGTGAAAATATTTATTAAAATAGATTGAATAATTAAAGATATGTAGAGTAAAGATGAAGGGATTTCATATACATGATTTTATTGAAAAATACTTATAAAAAAGTTGATTGCAAGTTCAAAGATTTTAGATTGAGTTTTTCAATATTTGAATCTCCTTTACAATAAATTATATTTTCTTATATAAAATAGAAAAACAGATAGACTTCAAATAAAATTAGAATTATCATAGAACTATACAAACAAATGATCGATATAGCCTAATAATAATAAAAATAATTCAAAAATAATGTGAGTCACATAAATTTTAATAGTACAACACGGCAAAAAAAAAGTAGCATGCGAGCCTAGGCTGATAAAGACGAATCTTATATTTAGAAAAGTAATTTGATCTTATCTCCTAATTGATGGTAATCTTTAAAAGTAATTTTTTATCTTCAAACATAAGTCTTATTCTTCGAGATATGTAATTCCATAATAGTCATGTTCATTGTCATTCAAGTGGTCAGGTGTGTAGGAAACAATATCACTTTTTGACAAAGCAGATATATTTAAAAATTCATTATAACGGGTGATAAAGTGGCTAACAACTTAGATTGATCCATAAGAAATGCAATATCTTTTGAACTAATATAGGTATTTTTGTAAAGGTTGAGGTGAGTTTTACATCAGGCTTCCAACTTTGTTGTTGTTAGCATATCTGGATTAAACTTAATCCGTCACTTTATGCACAAACACAGGTAATGCAAATATCACACATATGCACACAAACACAAGCCTAGGTTTAAGGACGAGCGTGGGTCCAAGGTCTACCCATCCCCAAAGGGTGTGTAATGTGGATTTTCAAACCTGTAAAGCAGGGTTCTAAACGGTTCTCAGAGTCAACAACCCATCTTTCGGATATTATCAACTTCCCAAATTACTTGGTAATCGATAATATTCTCAAGAGAGTCTCATCCAAGTGTAGTATCGCGTATCAACTATTTCGGAAATACTTCCTTATAGCCATCGCACTACGTCCTAACAAGGCCAAAGTGGGGTAAAATATGATCTAAAAGTCCATAGTGTCACGGGCTCCTTCGTCGAAAGTAGCATTGTTTTCACGAATACCCGTTCAACAATACTAAACTCTCAAGAGGGCCTACACTGAGCGGTGGTTTCTCAAGTTAGCTTGGTCGGGAATCAACTCCCTATAAGCCTCCTTGAATATACAACCATCCTATCATAATTGCACTCAAGTCCGGGTATAGGACCGCCCCACCACTCAAAAGTCTCAATATCCAACATACGAACAAATATATACATGTTAAGCAAGTATTCACAAATATAGCATACAATCAAGACAAAAATAGGCTAAACCCTCAAGTTTAAGTATCCCCATTGAAGTCGTCATTTCTGTTGCGGTGAGAATCGTGATACCAAGCTATTGATTAACTTGAATATTTAATTAATTGAATTCACAACCGGACTTTAATTTATCCAAAGGAAATGTCTAAAGAGAGAAAGAACCTTTTGCGCGATGTAACAACAACGATAAGAGATTCGGGGATCGGGGGTTGGTTATGCTTAGGGTAGGTATTTCACATCCTAAACATCTGTAGTACTCTACAGGAACCTTTTGTTTGTTGTATGCTAAGTTTGCTAAGTGTTTGCTATGGATTGGGATAAAAAGTGTAGTTTAAAACCTAAAGATAGTTTTTAAGTTTGCTCGCAAAGACATTGCGTCTTCTGCCTACGTATCCTAACTAGGATAGAATCAGAGCAATCGTAGTTCACCTCACTAAGTTTGAAGAACACTTGACTATGATCAAGGTTCAAAGGGGAACAAACATGACAATGCTTGTGTAGAGTTTAAGGAAACTCTCTAGATCTAAGTTGAACACTCAAGAAAGGGAAGTAAGTAATCATGACGATGATTCTTACATAGAGTTAACAAACTCTATCCTATGTTCTAATTGAAAGAGCACTCCTAACAAGGGTAGGCTTTTTAGACTTTAGGCAAAGTCCAACGGATAGGTTCTAACTTAACTAAGTGGGTGAATGACTTGACAAAGTCGAGGGAGAGGGATGAGCTATCTATGACCCAAGGTCAACAAAAAGACTTTCCTTTGGAAGGATAGAAGGGGAGGCAACTTAGATGAGAACTAAAGAGTTTCATCACTTGGGGGAAATACTTAACAAAGCAATAAACATTCACACATGATAAATACAAGAAACAAGGTTACAACCAAGGCATGCAAGCGTATTACGATAGGCAAACAAAGATGAATTGAGTAAAAACATGCAAGCGTATTACGATAGGCAAGCACAGATGAGTAAAGTATATGGTTACGACCACAAGAGAATCAATAACAAACAAATCTTACAAGATAATTCAAGCATGGCTTAAGAGAAATTTCAACAAGAAGCAAGGTAAACAACCTTAAGGATAAGCAACTTTCAAGTGGAAAAAAGTATCACAAACATGAACATCTTTGAAATATTTTCTCATCACATGAAACTAGACAATATTTTGAGTATTTTGCAAAAAGAATGGATTGAAAATAGTAAAATATGAGCAAGTTATGATTTTTTTGATTTTGTGAAGGCAATAGAAATAAATGAGCAAATAAAAAAAAAGAAATGGCCATGGGAGGAGTTGAACTCACACCCTCATGCCCACCAACACAAAGCCTTACCACTCATCCACTAAACGCGCGTGTTAAACAATTGGCAAAGGAGAAGAAAATGATAAAACAAAGAAAGTAATAAAAATGCCAAAAAGGGTCATCACTGAGGATCGAACCCAGGCAATATGGCATGATAGGAGACTTAAGGCGCATGAGACAACCACTGGGGTGGCGATACATCCATGTATTTTTCCACCCCTAAAATTTAAAGACCTAACAATGTATAAAAACCTGGGCAAGGCAACACTCATGAGAAACAAGCAAAACAAAGAATACGACAACATCACAACTTCATCAATACTCAACCAAATGCAACAAAATTTTAGCCTATCTTGAGTGAAATTTCATGAGGAATTCATTGGTGGTCTCAGTTTTTTAAGATGATGCACATATTTTGAATTTCGAATACAAATGCAATTGTAACCTAAAGAATGCATAATGGATATCACAGCTCAAACCAAGTGTTTTTAAACCTATGTGAGAGCTCAAGCAACTTTCAAATATGTGATCTAAACCTTCTAGGTGCCAAGGCCAAACAAAAATAGCTTTAAACATGAACTGGTATGTGAATGGGAGTGTAAAGCTTTGAAAATGCAAGTTGAAAGGCACAACTCAGAACAGCAAGAAATATGAACATGTGAGGGTGTGCACAACTCATAAACATATAATCCAATGATTTTTGATGCAAAACTCAAACCAAATCAAGTCCAATCAAAAAATGACATGTCAATTGCAAAGAATGCCTTGAAAATGCATGATGATGGCCATAGTTCAACATAAGAGGAAACATGCTCAAAGGAAAGTGTGAACATCTTATATACATGTTATCTAATGATTCTAAGTGCATAAATCAAACAGAAATAGTTTCAAACCAAAAGTGGCATGTAAGTTGCAAGAAATGCCTTGAAAATGCAAAGTGTAGGCCTCAGCTCATGACAGAAAGAATTGATGATGTGTGATGATATGCACAAGTCACAAATGCTATACTCATGGGATTAGGATGCAAAGAATCATATAGAGATGCCTCAAACAAAAATCTGGTGTGGGACTGTTAGTGATTTTAAAAACATGCTTGTGTTGTTGGCAATTTGAAAATAATTACTGATGCGGCCTATGCCTTTGTCATACAAAATGCAATTATGCACATACAATCAAAGCTTCAACAAGATGCCAGAACTTTAACACAATTGATGGCATGTTAATTTGAAACAGGAAACAGAACTGACAACTTTAGCAAAAGAAAGTGCTCAT